GGGCTCATTTACATTGAAAGCATGAGGTTGAATGGAAATAATAGCATGAAAATATCTCAGGCAAGACGAATAGATCCTTGCCTGAATCCACTCAGTAGGCCAAGCGGGACTTGTAGAGCCAATTGAAACGAATATTCATGTGTTGCTTATTTAATGCCAACTTGGCAGACCGAGCCGAATTGGGACATTGACTCAATTCAACAAATGAAAAGAAAAATAAAAAGTTCCAAATAAAACTTTAAGGAGTAGCATGTGAGCACAACACATGAATATGGGCTCATTGTGTAGGAGGTAGGAATAGAATGCTCACCTTTCAAAAAAAATTGCTATGTCCCGTTTCGGGAACAAGGTGCATTAAATGGCATAAAAAAGTGTTGCTACTTTTGAAGTTTGAAATATATATACAGTAAAACCTCTCTATAGTCATAATGATGGGACTAACTAATTTTATTACTATAAGCAGGTTATAACATAATGGAGGTGTAGTTACAAAAATTATAGTTTTCATTTCTTATTTTTTAATTCATGTTTTAGTAGTACAGTATTAGGATTTCAATTTATATTTTAATAGTATTAGGATTTCAATTCAACGCTTCAATTGCCTACTTTTGAAATGGATAGAAGACCATGTCTTGGAAGTAGTAAAGATAAGTGTCATTGACGAAACTATAAATGCAGTTGATGCATGGTTAATTGATGTGAAGCCACAGACAATTGCCAATGGTTTTAAGCATTGCAAAATTAGGACCCCCGATTCAATGAATTGCAAGTTACAAATGAAATGAACGAGGAAAATAAAAGAGTTATTGCAAAATTGAGTGATTAGATTCGACAAGAAAATAAAAGAGTTAGTACAAAATTGAGAGATTAGATTCGACAATTTCATTACACTAATCAAATGGATATTAATGTCTTCCTTCATCATTCAAATGAGCAACAAATCATGTATGTTTTAACCGAAGAAGAAATCATTTCTATAATTAGACAAGAGGATAAAGGAAATAATCCTAAGGATGATAGTACGGAAATACAAAAAGTTTCATGCCATGAAACTCTAAACATGCTTGAGAAGCTAAAAATATTTTGGCTTCAACAAGAAGGTATCCATGCTAGCAAGTTATTACATACTAGCAAGATAAAAGATGTGGTAACAACTCTAAAATATAAATCATTGTCCCAAACAACTTTAGATAATCTTAAACCTTTAATGTAATATAACATATTTTTTTTGATAATATACAGATAATTATTGCTATGTGGAGGCAACTTTCGTTAAGATGAAAATTAGAAAAATTATAATTTATTACAATGTGAAGTTTATTCTTATTTATAACTATCCCAAATTGGGACTAGAAATTTTTATGACTAAGTAGAGTTTATAGAGTGGCCTTTTTCCTGAATGAATTATTGAAGTTAAAGCAGAAGTTGTCTGGCTTCTTGCTTTGATCGAGCAGCTGTTGAAAGATGTTGGGGGATTTTGGTCAAATTGATTGTTTTCTTTACTATATCTACCGAATGTTTATGGGGGTATTTTTTAGTACTACAGTTGAGATTTTGTGGCTGAGATTTTAGAGAAAAGAAGGTTGAGGATTCTTGGGATTTTCTGACTTTCTAAGGGGAATTTCGAGAGGAAGATAACAGGTTGGAGGCAGAGGGCTTTATACTGGAACTAGTGGTGGAGAATAAGTTAGAGCAAAGGGCTTTGAATGGGTGCTAGTGTTAGTAAACGGTCCCGTATACGTAGCGGAAACAAAAAATAATATAATAGGATCGTTTACTTGAGCCAAGATCAAGGGTATGATTTTAACAATTTATATTAAATTAAAATCTGCATAAATATTCAACATGAGTTAAGAGAAACAAACGCACGTTGAAGGCTCCTCCAAATTTGTCGTTGAACGTTTTGCTACCGATCCAAGTGTAGGATCGAACCTGCGTAGTCCACACGAAGACAATCTTAAAAGAACCAAAGAGGGATTTGCTAGATCCTCTTTGGCTTCAAGATTAAGAAGAAGACAAAATCAATTGAATTGATTTTAGGCAATGGTGTTACTGCCGTGGGAGAGGCAAAAATTGGGGCTGCTATGTATTTTGGTTTTCAAAGAAAAAACCCTTAATTAAAAAATCACACACTTTTCCTTTTATACTTAAAAACAATTTGCCCTAATCCCATACGGAATAGGCTTGGGCTCCAACCCAAACGCCCCATGTTGCCAAACACTCCCAATTTGATTTATTTTAATTTCCATCATTATCTCAATTAAAATCAATTAATATATATATTTAAATATATATTAACATTTAACAATAATGATAATATATTTAAATATGTGCGAACACACATTTAAACGTAATTTCACTTATTTAATTTTTCTAACAAATTAAATAAAGGCTACGACCTCAGCAAATTTAATTGCACTGTGAAATTACCAAAATACCCTTTCGCCTTAAAAGACGAAAACGCCCTTCTTTCTTCTTGCATCTTAAATTGTCTTCTATGTGTGTGACCCTTAGGCTCCTCATCATATCGGCAGTGTATAGTATTGCGATTAACACCAATTAATCGTCTCACTAATACACAGACCAAGATTGGCCCCTAGCAAGGCATCATGGCCACCCGATAGATTCGGATTCAGCAAAGTAGCTACCTGTCAACGATATGGTTACCGTGCAATTCGATCCTTTCATCATACGTTATCTCGACGAGACGAAGGCATAGAAATAGTGTCAACCTTCGGTTACTCTCGATATTATTTATTCAGTTTCTGGACCAATGACCCGTATTATAAACTGGATAGAGCAACAACTCAATCCCACTGTGGCCACAGTTTTAGTGTCATTGCCATATACTGAATTGCGCCGTGAGATAACTTTCTCCCGTACCCGGGAGTGATAAATCCTCTGTCAATCCACCATAGTCTTGATACACTCCTTGATGCAGCCAATCACCACCGTATTGACAGCTCTGAAAAGAACTGCGTTAGGCTAGTGTCAAACTACACCAATCGGTGCACAAGGCGCTCCGGTGATCTCAAGTCTAAGGATCACATGCACCACCATTCGTTAGAGGATTTGTTCCATAGACACTGGGGTTACCATCCATATGGAATCCTCTGGTGGGTCAGTCCAGTGAACTTGCTGTGGTGTAATCGCCTACAACAAACACCCATGTGTTGCACCAGGTTGTCACCAAACAACCTTGACAAGTGAGATCAGTCACTGCCTTTCGACAGGGTCGTTCAACACTATGATAGCCTTACCGTATTATCTGTGCCCTTAGTTCAGAATAATACTGGGGCTACGGACGTTTCTAGAATGGCCACCATATGTGCTCATAGGGTTCTCACTATCAAGATTTGAAACACTTGATACCCTCGTCACGGCTCTACCATTCTAAGGACATATACCAATACATATTGCAATAATAATGATTTACGCGATATAGAATAAAATGCCTTTTATTGATCAATGAACATTATTACAAAGAGTCAATTCTACAATAATTGATTGGCTCTAGGGCATCTACTCTAACAGCTAGTGGGGGAGAATAAGTTGGAGGCGGAGGGCTTTGTACTGGTGCTGTTGGTGGAGAATAAGTTGGAGGCAAATAAAAATAGCTATGATGCTCGGACAGGAGTTTTATTTTATTTTATTTATTTATTTTTTATGGCAGAATATCAAGAATGGTGGAAGAGGGTCTGGCTATCATCAAGAAGCAAAAAGTACATAAGGCGAAAATAGAAGTAGCTAGAGAACTAAGGAAAAAGAAGAATAATTATATGAGTTAAGAGGTGAGCACCCACATATGAAATAATTCTAATTTGAAAAGGTCATATTACACTTTGAATAGAAATAATATGCATAAAACAAATTATAGATATAATATGATATGTGAATAGATAAAACAAATGAAGAAAAGTAAAGAAAAATTTTTCTTATCATGATGAAACTTTATGATTAACGATGTCAGTCGAAGGGAGTTCCGTGCCTCCTCTCATATTGTAAGTCATCATTGGCAGATGATTGTCAAGGTCCCATAAGGGTGCCAAACTGTAGATGGAAAAAATCTACGGTTACGGAAACAGGGTTTGATCTCGTGAGGTTGAGGTCACTGACAATCTACCGGACCTGCGCACACGAAGAGACAAGCGTAAAGCTTACGAAAAACATCGGGGTAGTGTCTGCTGTAGGCACTCTGACGCTCAAGTTAGCAAGGCTGAAAGAGGCAATTTAATAAGAATTAAGGGAAAGAAGGATTATCGGGAGTTTTGTTGGAATACTGGTAGGACACTGAGTCCTACTTTGGGAGATAATCCCTATTAGGAAAGAATGATGTTTTCTTGTCCTTATCAGATTAGGTTTACTCGTTTGAGTAAGATTCAAGATCTTAACAAAAGAGGAAATAAAATGGGTTTCTGATTTCCTATTTATGGACTATTGTAGGCTAATGGGCCGAAACTGTATTTAACTTAACTTGTAGGATACCCCAATTTATAAAGTGGGCAGTTCACAAGGTGACGTTAAACATAGGCCTAATCGAAATTGGGCTTAAGTCTTGGGCCGTGACATGTTTATTTCGTTATTGGACCTCATCAGACGCAAGATGGTTTTGTGCCCATTCAAATCTTACTTCCCATTCTCATTTTTTATCCTTAGATTATCCTACAAAAGAAATTGATTAAAGAGTTGGTTCTCAAGATTTAATTAGATGATCATGGCGATGAGATCATTTATAGAGATTAGTCAAGGTATATGCAAGCTGGGCATGAACACTCTATTTAAAAGAAAAAGAAATTGATTAAAGAGCCCAAATGAGTTACCCCAAAATCATAGAATGACCCTCTAAAAGTAATGAATTGTTGAGAAATAGATGACGAATGAAAGGTTCACATTTATTAAGATTTTATAATAAAAACACACCTTGGAGTTTCACCACAAATTTTATTTTATTTTATTATATTTTTGTAATTAGATAATAAAAAAGACAAAAGAACCATATTTTAATACACAAATAAACACATCATCTTGTTCTCCAGCAATACCAAAACTCCTTCAATGGCATGTGCAAGTGCAAGTATCAATACTAGTTTGTTATTCTCAAAACAACCCTCTAAACTTCAAAAAAATTTCAATCATACCCACTCTTTATCTTTAACTACTACAAGGTCAATGAGAGTGAGAGCAGAGACCATGTCTACGACTATTGAGAAGCTGGGTGTGAAGATTGAGAGGAACCCTCCTGAGTCCAAACTCACTGAGCTCGGTGTCAAAAAATGGCCCAAGTAACTCACTCGCCTCTCAAGTTCTGTTTTTTTTTTTTTTTTATATCTGTTCATGACTTGGGTAAAGATTTGAACTTTCATGATTTGTTGTTTTGTTTTATGCCAAGAAGATAGTAGAAGGAAAGAAAAATTGAATCTTGTTGACTTTTGTATTTGGGTTTTGTGTTTGTTTGTTTGGTTTAAGATTTTTCATTATCTATTGTTTGTGAAGTTTCAGTAATGTTATGTATTTTGTGTTGAGATTTTTGTGGGTCTGTGTAGTCTTCACAACTCTAGATGGCCCCTTTCTTATTTTTTTTTTCCCTGTGAGTTTGTCTTCCTTGGAGCAAAGGGTAGTTGGAAAATGAAAATTTAGACATGGGAATTTTGATCAATTCATTTGACCTTGAACTTTGGTTTTTAAAGCTCATGACTTGCAATTGTTTGATCTTAGGTACTTGATGGGTTGCTTTTGCAGTATTGAGGAGAAAAAAGGAGAGACTGAGTGTGATTGAGTGTCGGTTTTGCATCTTGTTCATGATTGACAAGAAGAGGGTTCTTCTAGATTAAAAGAAAATTCGCTTGCGTTCATGTTTAATCCTCATTTTGTTCATGGTTCTGTAATTAGTAGTTGATGGGAATTTTTATGTATGATATTGATGCAACTGTGTCGATTCATGCCGATTATTTTTTATTGATGCCGTTGTGAATGAGCAGGTGGGGTTGTCCGCCAAGCAAATTCCCTTGGACTTACTCGGCGAAAGAGACATGCTATCTGCTGGAGGGAAAAGTTAATGTTTATCCTGATGGCTCAAATGAGGCTGTTGAGATTGGTGCTGGTGACTTGGTTGTGTTCCCAAAAGGAATGAGTTGCACTTGGGATGTTTCAGTCGCTGTGGACAAGCACTATAACTTCGAGTAATAATCTTATGTCTTTTTATTCTATTTTCATTATGAATAAATGTGTGTGGAGTATGTAGATTACCGAAGCCTTTGTTTACACTTTCTAGTAGATTTACTGTTGATGAATGTCTCTGGTACTGGTGTTATTACAGCTTAAGCTTTGGAATGAGATTCCAATGTGATTAAATATATACTCTATTCTGCTACCTCTCTCTCCTCGTGTTTGTGTATAGGGATACCAGACAAGTTTGGAAATTCATCAAAAAAACTTAGAAAGTGATAGTTGAACAGCGTCTAAACCAAAATGAAAGTATACTAAGAGTGGAGTAAATTCAGACTGGAGTTCAGACATGACTTTTTTTATCAAAACAATCTGTTTGATTTGAATAGATTGTTTTGACAATAACAATGGCTCCTGTTAGCCTCATTTATGTGCCACAACCAGGTGATTGTGGTTCAATAGATGATATAGCACCAGGAACTGTTATATTTAGTTGGACATGTTTCGTTTCTTGCTTCGATCAATTCCAATCCTTTATTTTTCTATTGATTTTTTTCCAATCAAGATGTATGGATCCATGCATCTATGTAGACCCTGTTCATGGACTAATGAAAATGTGCAAAAGCATAGGTATTATGTAAAAATCCTTTATGAAGGAAATACATTACTTAAATTTATATATGAAAAATCAATATCTGGACCATCTGGTGTTATAACGCTGGGGCTTTCAATAGAACCAGTGTTAGAAGTGTGTTCGATTGATTCAATATCGATGAACCTAGAAAAGAGAGTTGAGGGTTGGAATGTGTGTATAACTAAAATTCTTGGAATTCCTTGGGGATTCTTGATTGGTCCGGACTTATTTACTGGCAGTATATTCCTTAATCTATAGCACAAGTCAAACATTAGTTTCTCATCTGAACTTCCACACAGTCACTCCATTTTTACTCTGTAGCTTTAATTTCTGGGTGATTTCATAATCCAACACATCTTAGATTTTCCCTTTTTTTTTCAAGTCTCTTTTTAAGTTGCTTTGCTAGCTTTACAGCACACAGCTTGTCTTGTGAACAAGCTAATCTGTGTATCACATATTTGTGTCTTGCAGACGATAGTTGCTTTGCTCTTGATTTTGAAAACATTCTGTTTGAAACCTTGAAAAAAAAATCTGCAGTGTAGTTGCATGTTAAAATAATATAATTGATGCAGTATGTATTTCCTCCATTTTGCATAGCTGGGTCAAAGTTTTAGTTACTTGTTCGTGATGTAGCTTGAAATTTGGGGTACAAAGTAGACAAAGAGTTGGAAACTTCTATTTTTTATTGAATAATCCTAGTTTTACTCACTCTCCCTACTCACTTCTTTTACTCACCTTTGTTAAAAAAGTGAAAAAGTGGATAAGGCTAACATTTTAACAAAGGTGAGTAAGAGAAATGAGTAGGAAGAGTGAGTAAGGCTAGCATTACTCTTTTTTATTTCTATTTCCATCACAAATAGATATTTCCATCAAACTCTTTGTTCAAAGTTCAAACTCTCTACTTCTCGGTAAAAGATATTTTTTCTGTACATTTCATTACGGTTCTTTCTGCACGAGTATTTTAGATAGAATGGTTTTAATATTTTCTTACTCAAGAAATTTGTGTCCTCTTTCAAAAAAGTAATCCAAGAAAGATTATTCTTGTTCCCCATATGGTTCTCATGTATTTGAATCTAAATCCATCTTCTTCTTTCTCAGTAACATATATATGATGTGTTGAGTTGATAAGACAATTAAACTAATCAGTTTGTAGAAAAGAGTTTGTCAAGTAATCTATAAGTCTAATATTACTCCAAGCAAACCCTCTTCATAGTTTTGGTTGATTGTATATTTAACCTAATTATATGAAGTCAACTGAATTTTTGCACCCCATGTGCAAGTCATTGTCAATATTTCAATAATATTTTTAATTTTATATGTGAGTTTGGTGAAATAGGATGGCTGTGAGATTCAATGCATTAATTTGGAAGTAATGTATAAACTAAGCCATATTTAGGCTTTCATTTTCAGATCTTGGAAATAAAAAATTCAACTTTTTGCATTCATTTTGTCAAAACAATTACATGAGAATAATGCAAGAAATTTCTTAAAAGAACATTAAAGTGAATCAATAATACATAACTGGTTTGCCAATTTTGAGATTAAAAAAAAAAAAAAAAAAAATTATGGTTTATGAAGAACTCTTCCAGCAAGTAAAGCAGCTTTCATGACTACAGAAATAACTTCAATAACATCATCAACTTGGCATGTGTTTCCTTTGAATGTTTGCCCTCCTGATTTCAGGAAATTTGTCATGCAATTTATAAAGTTTTGGCTGCATTCTTGACTCAGATAATCATCTGCATTTACAACACTTTAAACTTAACATAATCTCAAACTAATTTAATATTTAACAATAAATAAATAATATCGTCTTATTCAAAATCCCAATTTTATATAAATGTATATCTTATCGGCTCACATAATATCACATGATATGAGTGATAAACGGCTTAAGTAGAATTCATTCCTAAAAGCTTAAAGAAGAAGGAAATCCAACCATATATGTTATATACATTATAATATTTTATCAAACTTTTAATATCTTCCCTTACACTCGGTGTGCACGGTCATCATTGTCCTAAATAAATATGACTTTGATATCATGATAAACGAGCTTGAATAAAACTCATTTTCAAAAGTTAGCCTAAGGGAAGAGAGTAATAACAATCTACCAAACTTCTAACAATGGGGAAGCTTTTTCATCTAATAATGAACTCAAAATTTAATTAATTGACATTAATAATTACCCAAGGATCAAAGGCATCCGGGGAAGAAAATGATTAAATAATGAGAGATGGAAAATGACTCTGATTCATGCACCATCAACGGTGACTATATGTTTATAGAAGGGCATATTTTGAAGGGCTTCTAGATGCCTATGAACCAAACCACCGACACATACAATATATTATTTATATCTTCTCTGTGTTGCTGTAGTTTTACTCAACTATGAATATCTTGGTCACACAGGTCAGAATGAGAGTTTGGAAATTTGTATAAATCCAAGAAGAGTGTCCTCAACCTCAAGCACACCATTTAGTCTTGTGACAAGACATATATATACCCTCAGTACTCCCACATGATCATAGCCAAAATGTCTCAAGGGTCAATGTACAACTTAGGTAAAAAAAGAAATTGAATTGCATTATGCACCACATAATGTCTATAATGTACCATCTATCCTTCGTCTGAAGTACCAATAAGAGTATGATATATTATTTCAAAGGGGGCCATTGTTGAAGATGACTTTATGATTAATATTTCTTTCAATAAAACAAAGTTTAAGGATAAACTTACTATTCTTAGATTGAACGCATGCGTCATGTTTCATACAACAAGCATCAAGACCATCACAGGGCTTCTCTCCAGGACATCCACTGTATAGAAGCCCGCAATACTTCCCATATCTCAGAAATGGAGGCACTGTGTAAAAAAAAAAAAAAAAGAAAAAAAAAAAATTCAAAATCACCCTTTCCAAAAAGGGTTTTCAGATACCATCTACAGAAGTGTAAAATCTGAGTTTCTGACCGGAAAACAGTTTTTGAATATGATACCTGAACAGAAGTCGGATTCGCATTTTCGGCTGCACTCTTTACTCTGCAAATGATAACATAAAACACAAAGAAGATTACTCTTGGTGAATGAGATAAAGATGAAAAATAAAGAGGAATCTAAATCTGACCACAGAGACAGTTGCATCTATGGCTTGAACACCAATGTTAAGGGCAAAGACAGGGGCAGAAGAAAAGGTGAAAGCAATGAAGGAGAAAGAGAAGAGAAGAAGAGCAAACTTCAAGGACTGAGGATTTGTGGAAAACATTGTTGGTGAAATTAATTAAAAGAATAAAAATGGAAGAGAGATCAGTTGGGTTTGAGTAAAAGGTGTGGATTTTATAGAAGAAAGAGGTGAATGCATGAGGGTTGGATTTGTTTTGTAGTGACTCGTGATATGTTTTTTGTAGTATTATTCACTTCTCATTCATCACCAAATTGTTTTGTTTTGTATTATAATTTGAGAAAAAAATTAAAATAATTAAAACAATTTGGGTAGTTGTGGGTTCCATCTCGTGAACAAACTCTTTAAATCATGATTAAAATATGAAATTATGGTGGGATTTGGATTGGATTACAAGTTCTTGAAAGTGATAATTTTGCATGAGTTCAATCAAAGATTTTTTTTCACAATGGAGACGACATTTTCTATAAAAAGCAATAGTGTTTTAGATCAAAATATCTAATGGATATTAGGGAAACCAGAAGCATTATCAATCTTGAAAATCAATAATGTTTTGTTTANTACATTTATTTAATTATTATATTTAATGATAAACAAAAAGAATTAGAAAAAATTACAGCAAATGGGGGCGGGGGACAAAATTAGGTGCATGGAATCGAATGGCTCTAAACCAACTCTTGTAGAGGTTTTAAAGAATGATTCTAAAGTACAATTGATTTTAAGATACTTATAGTTTGAATATAAGTTATTAATATTTGATTCAGTGTTTTAAAACCCAGCTTGACAGTAAACAAAGAGCAAACTCAGTCTAGGCTATCAAGGCTTTTGAAGAAAAGAGGTCGTTGACTCTTTTGGTAGTGAAATATTGGGTTTTGGTGGTTGAGATTGATTGGAATTTGATTTGGGAGGGACGGCTGTGCAAACCTTAATTGCTTAATTGCCGACAATTGGCAAGGTCGATAAGAGTAGGGTTAATGGCCAGGGTCGACAGGAGTAAGGTTTGAGGGGTTTTGGTGAGTGATGATCGAGGAAGAGAATGGTGATAAGGTGGGGTCACAACAATGATGGAATCAGAAACGGAATATAAATTTAGGTAGTAAAGTGATATTTTAAAAGTCTGTGGATGAAAAAGTTTCATTAACTCGTTATTTGGGTGGGAAAAAGTCTTACTCTTTTGGATAATGCTAAACAAAAAGAATTAAAAAAAATTACAGCAAGTGGCCGCGGGGGACAAAATTAGGTGCACTGAATCAAATGGCTATGAGCCAACTCTTGTGGAGGTTTTGAAGAATGATTCTAAAATACGATTGATTTTAAGATGCTTATAGTTTGAATATAAGATATCAATATTTGATTTAGTATTTTAAAACCCGATCGGTAGGAAGTCTCATGT